ATGAGTTTTTTTCTACAGCGGTGAATCTCATGAAACATGTCAAGAATATATATGAGTCATATTTCACCCCAAAATCAAAAGGAAAATAAAATAAAATGAAACCTATTTTGAAGACCATTAATATATATATTTTTGCATTCTAACATTTTCTAAAGACATTCCAGCACATTCAACACAGTTAGAGAATTTCTATATATTTTTATTAATATTTATATATTAGATTTCCCTTCATTGTAAGACTTTGGGGGTACTTCATTATTATTTGACAAAGAAAAATGTTGGAAAAACGGTGGATCTTCAAAAAATAAAAAAAGTTCCTATTTCGGGCTGAAATGTCTTGTCAGATTTTCGTGAGATTCACCTGCAGAGGAATAAACCGGAAGGTTGAACGCACTTACAGCTCAGTTCGATCCGAATGAAGTCTTTGATCCCCAGGTTCTCCAGAAACACTCCCGATGAAGAGCTGGTCTTAAACAGGAAGGAGATGTCTGCGCTCAGCTCCCCGTGGAACGTGGGAAAGTGCAGGTACGACGTCTCCTTGTTGAAGTAGGCAGCGTTCCAGAAGTTATCTGGAAAAGACATTTACAGCAGCATGGAACAGCGTTGTGGTTTTCATTAAGCACATGAAATGCCAATCCAGAGCTGATATACCACCGGTGGGTTTGACAGGTTGACAGAGTAAGCGCTCACAGTATGATTAGTGAGGTACTTACTGTCACCGTAACACTGCAGGGGTCCCACTCTGTAGGCCGCTTCGGAACCAGATCTGTTGATGTCACCCACAGTCAGCGCTCGCACCGGCAAATGCTCTTTATGGGACAGCAGCCCGGAGTCATTTGACCTGCCAAAGAAATCTAATCAAATCATCTATTATTTATCTATTTAATTTTTTTTTGCATTGCAAGCGCATTTCCATTTCCAATAATGCAGAAAAAACCTAAAGTAAAAATAGAAGCAAAACTGTAAAACTTGTTTTAATTTTGTATATTTTAATTAAAAACATGTTTAAAAGTGTTCGGACAGTGCCCCTGAGTCAGGTATGAAATATATAATACATAACTCAATATCTTTTGCTTTTTTTGTTTTGCAATGCATTGCATTGTAAGAACATTTTCCAAAAAAGCAAAGTTAAAAAGAGATCCCAAACTGTAAAACCTAATTTGTTTATTGCATCAGGATGGCATCTTAATAAATTCCTTAGATTTTTGGTCCTTCGATTATACTGCAACTTACTTTTTTTTTTTCATCACAACCACATTTTCCACAATGCAGAATAAATAATTTAAAAACAATGACTTAAAAGAGTGATATCAGCTAAACAGCCATTTTTGCCAATTGGTGTAGATTAAAATTGTACCTACTGTAGTAACAAAAAAAGTAAAACCTATTACCAAACATCAGTATTCACCTATATATAAGTATATAAGGTTTATACACACACACACACACACGTGCACACACACGCGCACACACACGCGCACACACACGCGCACACACACACGCACACACACACACACACACACACACACACACACACACACACACACACACACACACACGTAGTAATGGTTTTTATACTGTACAAACTGTGTTTTCTATTGCCCTACACCAAACCTACACCTAAACCTACCCCTCACAGAAAACTTTGTGCATTTTTACAATCTCAAAAAAACTAATTCTGTATGTTTTATAAGCTTTTGTACCCATAGGGACCTCAATTTAGGTCCCCACGGTGACACAAGTCCCCATGAGTCGTTGTGTATTCAGGTTTTAGTCCCCACCAGTGTAGAAAAACCTGTACACACACCCACATACATAAAAATATATAAATATATAGTTGAATATGTGGAAAATGCATTGCTGAAACTGTGAACATTTTATAACACGAATGAATAGTCGAATCAGAAATTTGAATTAGTTCATTAAATCAGATTCAATTGATTAAGCTGATTCTGAGAAATGAATCAAATTGACCAGTTCTAATGCTGTTTTTGCACCTGAAGTTTAAATTCATACTGTTTGAAAAACATAAACATCTCAATGCATTAGTTATATGAATTTAAAAGGTATAAATGTCTGGTATAAATGCTACAATGCACAAAAACATCCCAATGTTCCTGAAAGTAGGCCTCATTTTATTTAAATCAGCATATTGTCTTATTCTGATGTGGTTTGCGGTTGTAATATGAGCCGGACGTGTTGCTGACATGAGAGTGTGTGTCGCACCACTCTTTGCTGTCGGCGTCACAGTTGCAGAAGTGTTCGGGATGCACACAGTTGTCCTGCAGGCCACAGGCGCACTGCTGACTGCCAGGCACCGCGCCGCCCCAGTACATGTGCGCCTCACCCGACCGGCCCACCCACCAGCTGAACGGAGCGCCGTCTGCAACAACAACACAAACACACAGCAGCGATCATGAGTCTGACGCTACACAATCACACTGAGACACCGAAAAACATGACAGGAAGCACACCCAGATTAACTGTTTGTGAGTTTTTTGTCATTTTTCAATTACCAATTTCGTCTCAGGTATTTCTACTACAGTTTTGCAAAAGAAAAAAAACCACCAATCAATCAATTGTTCGGATCATTTGACCCTGAATTTGATGAGAAATGTTTGAGTTCATATTGACATCTCTTGAGTTTTGGTTGCAGACTTTGGGAACCTGGCAAATCGGAGCACAATTTGAGTCATTTTGAGACGATGTGTGAGATTACTGAGGTCCTTTTCTCATGAGAAAAATCTGAAAAACATGACTAACCCTGAATTTGTTGAGAAATGTTGGAGAGCTCTGAGTTCTGGTAGCGCACTTTGGGATCTTGGCAAATACACTACCGGTCAAACGTTTGGGATCAGTAAGACTTGTAATGTTTTTAAAGAAGTCTCTTCTGCTCATCAAGGCTGCATTTATTTGATCAAAAATACAGAAAAAAAACAGTAATCTTGCAAAATGTTATTACAATATAAAATAATGGTTTCTATTTTAATATCCTTTAAAATATAATTTATTTCTGTGATGCAAAGCTGAATTTCCATCATCATTACTCCAGTCTTCAGTGTCACATGATCCTTCAGAAATCATTCTAATATGCTGATTTACTATTAGAATTAGCAACAGTTGTGCTGCCAAATGTTTTTTTTGGAAACTGCGATACTTTTTTCAGGGTTCTTTTGATGAATAAAAAGTTAAAAAGAACAGCATTTATTCAAAATATAAATCTTTTCTAACAATATAAACCCAGCCTTGATGAGCAGAAGAAACTCCTTTAAAAACATTAAAAATAGTTCTGATCCCAAACTTTTGAATGGTAGTGTATGAGCACAATTTAAGTCATTTTGAGATGATGTGTGAGTTGATTGAGGTCTTTTTCTCATGAGAAACACCTGAGAAGCAGAAAATATCTCTGTTTGCTCTACTTTTAATCTCATTGCTGTTTGAGAGAAAGCATTTAGATGTTAAAGAGCTCTCGTGAGTCTCGCATGCATCAGTCCAAGTTTAATCGAGATGAGCACGCTATTTTCATTACTGTTTATCTGACATATTTACGCCCGACACCGTGTTCTCCCTGTCTCATCAAGAACTCTGATAATGCGACAACTAATGGACGTAATTACCATCTGTGCGGATGTTTCATGTTTATTTGAGAGACTAGAGACCCGTTATAACCCTGCGTTAGACACCGAACCAAACCGCCCATGACAAACCCACACAAACAAACATGATAAGAGCTCTTCAAAGGTGCAAATGCACATGAATAATCTACCCTAAAGGTGACTTTCAATTAATTTAATGCAGAAAAAAAAGCGGGGAAATAACTGAGCTGTCCGTAACAAAGAGCATAACAATCAGTTTGAGTCGTTTGCTTAAGCGTCATGCTTTTGCAGATGGAGCGAGGTTTTAATAAGCCTGACCTTTCATAGGGAGGGGGCGATCGATATTCCTAATAAAAAGGGCTTACCTGGTGTGTTCAAGAGCCGTGACTTTTTGCAGTGGTAGGAGAGCTCCTGCTCGCAGTACTCCGCCTGGGTAATTATCGCCTGGATCTGCTCCACATCGGCGGAATAGTTAAAGTGGGCTAAATGCTGATTTATCCCGGAGGACACTTTTAATTTGGTGAGCTCCGTGTTATTATGTTGGATCACCATCCATGCTTTATCTGCAGGGAAAAGAGGGATTCGACCGATGAAAATGCTAAAATGACACACGTGCACAATGTTTTAGCTCAGAGCTCCGTCGATTTCATGTTGTGCAACAGTCACGTGACCTTTAAAAGGTCACAGGATGCTCATTAAAAAACCTAAAGCATGCGATATATACTAAACAATCATAAACACAGGCTCTTGGGTTCGAAGAATGTTTATTAAGAGCCATTTTGGGCTGAATTGGGTTCTTGAGTTGCTTTAGAGATTATTGATGTTTCATTTTAGGTTCTTCATAATGGTTTTACTCTGTTAAAATCATGAAATTACATTTTCAACCCATTTTACTTATATAGTGTAATGTCAGAAATTGTTAACTAAACAATTTATTCATAACTTTTTTCCTTAACCTTAATGGAAATAAAACCACACACACACACACACACACACACACACACACACACACACACACACACACACACACACACACACATATATATATCTATAACCTAAAACTGAAATAAAAATAAATAAAAAATAAAAATAAATATGTAATCCCCAAAACTAAAAAAAACCTGAAAATATAAAAATAAAAACTAATTCAAAATATTAATACTATAATACTATAATACTGTATACAAAAGTAGGTATTAATAAAATTGACAAAAACAGCAATAATACTGAAACATAAACTAAAATTAAAATGGAAACTGAAAATATATATAAAAAACGAATTAAATATATTAATACTATAACAGTATATACCAATAAAAATGGCAAAAGTATTTAATACTATTATTAAAATATATTTAATATTATTAAAATTTAGACTAAAATTTATATGAAAACAAAAAATATATAAATACAAAAACAATATGAAATATTGATAAATACTATAATACTGTCTATAACAGAATATACTAATAATAAAAAAAAAATGACAAACACAAAACAGTATTACTAAAACTGAAAATATAAAAATTCAAAAATTCAACTAATTCAAAATAGTAAAAAAAGTATATGTCGATTACACTATATACTAATAAATGTAAGTTGTAGGTTTACACCATGTAAACTAAAATGAAAACGATTTTAAAATAAATCTAATTCAAAATATTAATAATACTAAAATAACACTGATGTGAAATAGGATACTGAATGAGAAAACATATGTAACCACGGGGAACTGACTGGATGAAGAAAAGAAAAGTCATTTTAGAATTGGTTACGAAGAAACTTATTAAGTAAATATTTTTTCTTTAGAATAAAACTGCACTGCTGAATCATGCAAGGTAAGACTAGCAATGTATATTAAGAAAGTCAATAGAGTCCATTTGGATTTCACATTGACTTTAACAAAGAAGAAGTGAGGATCTATCAAAGGTGACGTGATGGTTTTCTAAAGAGCCATACAACTTCAAACGCCTCTTCTGTGGCATCAGGCTGTAAAAGCCTTTTAAAACTTTTTTTTTACAAGTGAACGTCGCACAGACGGCTCAAAGGTTGATCTGTCTGCTTCTTCTAAAGTGTGTTTTTCCTCGAGTGTCACAGATGACTTCCTCCGTGGGGTGTGACACGGAGCGTGAAGGATCAAAAGCTGTGGATTAAAGTCCCAATTACGGAGTGTTTAAAAGGATTTAATCACTTCGGATTCGCTGCGTGAGATTCACCTGACATGTTGCAGTAGATTAGTTGAGGTTTGATGGGGCCGCTTCCATCCACGTCGATGTAGTAAAAGCCAGACGTGTTTCCTTTGTGTTTGTATGCTTCACACGATGCTTCATAAATTGCTGTAAACACAAAAGCAGTAGGTTAGTGTGGAGAGATACTGAGGTGAAGCTGTTTATGTTTAACACTGTGAATAATAACAGTAACATACATAAACAAGTGTTCATTTACACTTTCTGTCTACGCATAAAGTTGAGATTTGTTCGTGCAACGTGTGTGAAAATGCAGCTCACGTAAAAACATCACTTTTTGTTTTCACACCCTGTAAAATGTTTTTACGTGCTGTATGGATGGTCAGATGGTTTTGATTCCAGTACTTGAGATACTTCAAATACTGCCAAAAACATTTTCGCCATATTTTTAGGATTAAAATGTTAAATATTTGTCAGGTGTGTGATATATGAACAAACCCTTCTATAAAAACCTTCAGAATACAGATATGAAGAAAACTGTAAGTTTTGGTGTATGTAAGTGCTGCTGAAGTGCAGAAAAAACTAATTTTGAGAAAACAGCCTTTAAAGATATGTATTGTAATTGAAATCTACAGACACAAATAGATGAAGTGCAAAAATAAAACCAGGCGATTGATATATGAACAAACCCCTCAGTAAAAACCTTCAGAATATAGATATGAATAAAACTGTAAATTTTGGTGTACGTAAGTGCTGCTGAAGTGGAGAAAAAACTCATTTTGAGAAAACGGCCTTTAAAAATATATGTAATCTAATCTAAATTTACAGACACAAATAGATAAAATGCAATCAAGTAAACCAAAATAAATAAATGAAAGGGTACTTTGGATGTTTTCTTTCCAGTAATCCGAAAGAAGTCTAGTTATGGACATAAAATTTCAAAATTGATCAGAAAAAGTACATGAAAACAATGGTTTTGCCTGTAGTGACTTGCATTGATGTATGTAATTATTTGATTACACAATTCATTCCAAAAGAGCAGTATTTATCTGGCACAAAATAATTAGGATAATAGCATCAAAACTAAAATATTAATACACAAATTTTCAATAAACACAATTAATTTACTGTATATGACAAAAAACAGCAGTATTTAACTAACATTTTATTACACTAAAATATTTTGTTTTTATATATTATTATACTAATATAATATATATTTTAAAGGGGTCATATGATGCGATTTAAATTTCCTCTGCTCACTGAAGGCCGTGGTGTGTGATGCTGTGTTTCGTTGTGAGAGTGAAACTACTTTGTTTGGCCTTCCAAAAATGGACATGACTAGAAATCAGTGGTTAAGTTGCATTTACAACACTGTTCCAGAACAGTTCATCCCAAATATTCAGATGTGTGCAGCGCATTTTATGGAGGACGAGGACTGTTTCCTGGGAGAG